AAAAAGAAATAGATTCACAGAAAAAACGTTAGAGTGACATATTCCTCAGTGTTTATATTGGCTACATTCGGCAGGTCAGAAGTCCAGTAATTTAAAAAAATCAGTACGTGTGACCTTTAAAGTATCAAAATACATGCATTACTTTTGCACAGCAGCTGTTAAAGTAAAAGGCAGCTCTCCATAAGGCAAATAATAAATTTTAAAATATAATAAAAGAGAAGACATAAATGAATAGAAATATTTAGATTGTTTTGAAGGTTTAGGAAAATGATAAAGAACAATCAGTATACTGTAAGTTGAGACCTTTTTTAAAAATCAGCAGTGATGTAACATTCATCACTTGACAAAAATAGTTTCATAGAGAGATTCCTGACACATTCAACACAGACCCTTAGGGAAAAGCGAAATATTTCTTCTTTTGTAGGAGAAAAAGAAGCCCAGTGCTAATTGTGAATTTTATGTGAAAGACAGAACATGCTTGAAGGAGTCGTCAGTTGAACTTCCCTGATATACAAATTAGATTCCCTCCTGGGGCGTGAAGCATTCACTGATGTACGTTAAAGATGATAACCTTCAGTATCTGTTATAATTTAATTATACAAAATCCTCACAACTGAGCAAATAAGCGACATTAATGTAAACAGAAAAAAATATGTTGAAGTTATCAAAAATTTAGGCGGGACTTAAATTGCGAACACCTGCTTTGCAGAACACCTGGTTTGGATGATGGTGGAACCCAAAATCCATTTGCAGGGTCGCACGTGGTAAATTCCCTCTGACCGTAGTGCAGGGTTGCAAATAGCCATGCGGTCAGACAGAGAGCACTGTAAAGTCGATGATGGCAGATGCAGTTAGGTTAACATGTAACACCCTATCATTTGATCTCCCTTTGTGACCCATTTTAAAGTTGTTTCAGCTTTTCATATTTTCTCCTTTCCTTTTGCTTGAAGTTTTTCTGCATTGTCTGGTCACTGTTGTTGAATTGTTTGTTTGCTTCCTGTTTGTGTTTTGTATGATTTTCTATATCTGGAATCCAGGAAAGGAAAATCGATAGAGACAGTCACTGGACTAATAATTCCGCAGGGGCATGGCAAGGAGGATGTGTGGAATGGAGAGCTAACAAAATGAGCATGGGAAGGAAATGTTCTCAAATTGATTGTGGTGAATACTATGCAGTTCTTCTTCGTATGATTGAGTGATTACATTGTATCACATCTGAAGTACATGCCTAAAAACCGTTTAAAAATATTTAATTTTACTTAGGCCCACAATCAACAGTCATGGGCTCTGCTGCTGCTGCCAAGTGCTGCGGAGTAGAATCAGACTCAAGAACACTATGTACGACAGAATGAAATGCTGCCAGTTTCATATTACTCTCAAAATTAGTATTATATTGGAGCTCACTGTTGTAGTCATTGTGTCAATCCATCCCATAAAGGGTCTTACTCTTTTTTGCTGGGAACAGCAGTCAGGAGATCAAATCATATATTGAATGGGCAAGTCTGCTACACCAGACCTATTTAAAGGGTTGAAGAGCAAGAACGCCGCTTTGAGGACTAAGGTGTGCCTGAGGCAAGCCATGGTATTTTCAGTCACCTCATGTGCATGTCAAAGCTGGACAAGAAATAACGACAATGGGTTCAAATATAATACCAACTGTGAGGATGGCATAAAACTGAGCTAGTTCTGCTTGGTACAGTGACTCCGTGTATTCTCTCCATCTCTTCTTTAAAGCTTCCATTATCGTTCAATATTTTGCCCATGTTGTTGATAGGCTCCATTGACTCTGTTACAACCCATAGGGACTCTATGCAGAAGGGAACTAAACACAGCATGGTCCTTATAATTGTCCCTGTGCCTGAATACATTGCTAAAGCCATCGTGTCAGTCCAACTCGTGGAGGGCTTTCCTCTCTGTCGATGCGTCCTCACTTTATCAAGCATCATGTCCTGCTCCAGGACATTTGATCTCCCTTTTGATCCAATTTGATCTGCAGGACATATGATCTCTCCTGACAATATGAAGTCCAAAGTATGCAAGACGAATTCTTGCCCTCATTCCCTCTTAGGAACACTCTGTTTATACTGTTCTTGAGATAGTCTCACATTGATTTTGAATAGCATCACCCCTCCCTATGTAAGATTTTGATTTGGAAGTAAATCGTTTACATAAAGAGTAAAGGTTCCTTTTGAGGAATAAGTTACACCTGAGCCAAACCAAAATATTTTCAGTCACTTCATACGCATGAGAAAGCTGAACAATGAACAAGGAAGACAAAAGAAGAATTTAATGTATTTAAATCATGCATCTGGCAAAGAATAGTCAATATTGTGAGAAGAATGAACAAACCTGTCATGGAGGATGTGCAGCCAGAATGCTTTTAGAAGCAAGGATTATGAAACTTTTTCTCATGTTTGGTACATATTCTTAAGAGGGATGAATCCTTACAGAAAGCCATCCTGTTGGCATTTTATAGGGTCAGTGAAAATGGGGAAGTTTCTCAATGAAATGAGTTGACACAGTCCCTACAACTATGGGCTCAAACATAGCAAAGGTCGTGCGGATGGCAAAAAACGGATCGGTGTTTCATTCTGTTGTGCATAATGCCACTGTGGATTGGAACAGACTCAATGGCACCTAAATATAAGAATTATTTATGTTTAAATACACACTATGAATTGACTTCATTGAACTTTTGAAAACAACAGTACTTTTGAGCTATTTTATTTCTTCAGATAACACACACATTTGAATTTTAAGAAGACAGTGTTTTCATATTGGTTATTATAGAGAAAATTGGTGAATTATGTAAACCCCTCTTCTTTTACTTGTTTTCAGGATAAAGCAATTTTGAGAAAAATGAGAAAAACATTGTAATATAGCCTTTTACAATATACTTAAGTAAAACAAGAGGTCAGAAACCCTAGACATTTAGTATATCAGAAGATATAAATATACTTTATTTTAAAGTAGATCAGTTGCTCAATGGTTTGGGAAAAGAAAATATGTGAAAACTTTTATTAAAGTAAATGTATAAAATATTCAGGGAACAAGATAGCACACACACACACACACACCACACAATGGAAACTGAATCTGTTTTTTGAAATTATCTCAGATATTTACGAATATATTCACTAAGATAGATTCAGATATTAAGACATACGAAAGTTAGTGCTCAGAGTTTGAGAAATATAATCTGAGAAAAATAGTTTATAGAAGTCTACCAAGCTCTTTAAAAGACCTTATTGTAAAGACCCTAGCATGGGTAACATGAGTCCCAGGGGTAATATTTGTTTGTTTCTTTAGTCATTGAAATCATCCCTTAGCAGGGATTTATTGATCATTTCCCATGTTGTAGGTAGTTCTAGTGAGTATATGCTTTTCTATGCCCAGTTATATAGATAGAATAAACTAATCAGCAGTGCTGAACAAGGTTTTTTGCCTTCAAGGAATATCTTCATTATCTAGTGCTGTGAACGCCACAAGCGGATGGCTTTCACAGGAAGCTATTTCTCACAGCTGAGGAGGCTGGAAGTGTACAGTCAGGGTGCTGGCGATGAAGGAAGAGCCTTGTTTCCTCAACGTCTACTTCCATGTTCCTTGGACATCGTCAGCATCTTATCTATCTCACCTTTTCTCTCCTTTGAGCTAAACCGAAATATTTGCAGTCACTTAATATGCATGAGAAAGCGGAACAATGCATAAAGAATTAAATGTATTTAAATCATGCATCTGGCAAAGAATATTTAATGTTATCAGAAGCATGAACAAACCTGTCATAGAGGACGTACAGTCAGAATGCTCCTTAGAAGCAAAGACGATGAAGCCTCTACTTATATCGCGAAAGGGATAGGACTCAAAATGCACCCAACACCAATCTTTCCCCATTAGGATATGATAACCCACTTTTAAGAGGGATTGTAACCACAAAAAAAGATTTACAACACACATTAGGGGGACATAATTCAATCTATAACATGGAGTTTTCCGTGTAGTGAGGCAAGAGAAAAACCAAAACTTGTTGCAACCCTACAGGACAGAGTGGAGTTGCCCTGTGGGTTTCTAAGACTGTAAATCTTGACGGCAGTAGAAAACCTCATTTTTCTTTCACGGGGCGGCTGGTGGTTTCAAACTGCTTTAGGGTACAGGGGGTGTTAGCGGTCCAGCAGGCAACCCACTAGACTCCAAGGCTCCTTGAGACGCGCGAAGGCATTGTCCATAGTTCAACGGACAAAGCCTGTCATTGGTGGAGGATTCCAGGTGCGTGATGCTGGGGATCCAGGCAAGGAACTTGGAAACTTACTAATTAAACACACAGTGAGGTGTGGTATTGATGAGCTATTTACAAGGGAGTGCAGGGACAAAAGCCCTGAGGTGAGAAGAAAGATGGGAGAAAACTGCAAAGCTATGCAAGGTGAGGTTGCAGGCAAGTAGGCGCCACGTCATGCAGGGAGTCTGAAGTTGGTTTTACCACGTCCATTTTTATCCTACAAAATAAACGAGTGGCCTCCTGCCTGTATAACCGACGGGCACGTTTTCCGGGTGTGTTTTGGCCAAACGGCTTTTGCTGGTTGGTTTTCCATTTGTATGCGCTGGGAGGGGTCACTGACTCTCCCATCTGTCCCTATTGACTTCACACGAGAGTTCCTCCAGAGTGGCAGCTGGAAGAAAAGCAGTTTGCAACCCTTTTCTGAAGATCCTAGGTTCTCAGATATTGTACTTAAAATATCCCCGCGAAAGAGAAGCGGAAGGCAGGGCTCCGCGGCTCAACCCACGTCACCGCGTCTCCGCGCTGGGGGAGGGGCGGGGCTTCCAGTGGGAGGAGAAAGCCGCGCGAAGGTGAGTAGGGGAGGGACTCACCGGATCGCCACGTCACCTGGGAGCTGCGGACGGGAGCGACGCAAGCCCACGTAGCGCTGCGGCGCCATTGCGCATGCTCCATTCTCGTTGCCAGGGCAGCGGGCAAGGTGCTGTTTGGAGGCTGAGCCTGATGAGTCTTCTGGATGCTCTGCCCTTTGAGTTCAGAATCAGTCTCGATCAGAGGAGGAGCAGAGCTGGGTGCAAAATAATAATCATCTGTCCAGAAAGCCCGCGGATTCCAAAGAAATGTGAGTAGACTCGGCCCCACAGACGTCGGCGCCATGTCAGACTTCTCTAGTGAGACCCTGAGTTCTTTTGCTGATGAGGTCAAGAGTTCAGGCTCATTCATACCCTCCACCCATGCCTCTGGGAACAAACCTGAGAGTGGAAAGGGAGCCATAAGTTTGGAACTTCAAGATAAACAGTCTGAACTGGCAGAGTTTAAAAATAACGAAAAGTTAAGTAGACAATGGACCAACCTCCCTAAGAGCAAAGAAAGTAACTCTGTACAGAACCAACCAGATACCAAACTTAAAAAAGAAATCATTGTAGCATCAGACCAAGAATTGAAGGCGCTGCAGTCGTTCTGCGCAGTTAAGATAAACCTGATCTATCACAGAGGCAACTCGAAGTCGGTACAAAGCAGCAGAAGTAAAAAGCAGCAACTCAGACTGCATGGAGAGCGCCCAGAGATGGACGCACAGAAATGTACTGTTCCCGCCGAGATTGTGAACAGAATCTATTTTAAAAATGTCAGCGCAACTCTAAAACAGGTATCAACGGTGAAGCAGCACATTTCTTCGGAGTGTCACAATTGTAACAGAAAAAGGGCAGAACTGGCTCAGTCTGCCTTCCTAAAGCAAAAGAAGACTTTCCTGGAGTCACTTTCACTCCAACAGAAAATAGACGAGCATCTTTACACCAGAGACTTTCTCACCTTGATTGGAGAAGCCCACAAGTGCCTTCCGAGACTTTCAGATGACCCGAGACTAATCTGGAAAAGACTGATGGAGAAAAGTCTGATTGGATGCCCCGGCTTTGAAAAGTCAGCCGCACAGCAGATGTAGCAGGATGGAAATAAAAACTGCCACATTCACCGTTTTGTCTAGCACTTCACAAGCCATTTACCCTAACCAAAGCAGTGTTTACTAACAGCAACCTGTTGTGTGGTTATGTGTATGTAGTATGCAATGTGTTCTTGGTATGTATTTGAATAATTACCAGCACTTCTGAAGTCATTTTGGAAGTTAAGACTTGGTTTTGCTTCTTCCACAGATCTGAAGGCAAAGAACATTTTTTTTTCTTTTTTAACATTTTATTAGGGGCTCATACAGCTGTTATCCCAATCCATACACACATCAATTGTGTAAAGCGCATTTATGTCGGCAAAGAACATTTTATCCTCTCTCTCTCTCTCTCTCTCTCTCTCTCTCTCTCTCTCTCTATCTATCTCTCTATATATATATATATATATAAATATATATATTTTTAAACATCTATAAAGGATACTTTTGTAGTTGGACCAGTTAAAAAGCTTTATGCAACAATCCCGGAGAGAGGTGGTAGTTTGGACTGGAATAGGTCACAGGGAACGAACCGTAGAGCTATAAGAGATAATTTGGAGGCAGTAATTGGTAATCCTTGGTGATCAAAAGGATATTAACATTTAATTAAAAGGAAAATGCCTATAATGCTACTAGATTTCTTCCTGGGGCACCTGGACTAATGATAATTGACATCATCACCATAGTGGCACTGAAAGAGCATCATGTTTGGTGGCAGTGATCATGAATGGGATTACTTGGTGGAATTTATAGAGTTGCAACCGATAACAACATCAGTTCTGAAGTATATTTGAAATACCTGGGGAGTTGAGGAACATTTGATTATTTTGTTTTCAGTTTGGAGGAAACCTGTAGCCTAGTGCTTTTAAGTAATAGGACAGGAGAAATGGTTGGTTCATATTTGTCAATTGAAGTCATAAATGTGGTGAGCAAATCTGGAGGTGAGTGGATAAGAAGACAATCAGCTAGGATTAGCTCCTGAGGAATTCTAACAGTGAATGGGTAGTGGAGAAAAAACTAGCAGTGGTGGCTGAGAGGAAAATCTAGCAGTGGTGGCTGAGAGGACTGTGTTGTGTTCTCGAAACCAGAGAAAAACATTTCAAGAAGGATCGGTTGCTTAAGCACATCAGTGCAACTGAGTGGTCACATTGGTTTAATCATGTAGCCCTATTGACCGAGCAATAGTTGTTTGACTTACAATTTGGGGCAGAATACCTTAGGTAATAAGTGCTTTAAGGAAGTTAAAAATATAAGTATAGAATGCTTATTGAAAAGATTAGCTGTGGAGGGGGGAGAGGGCTACTGGAATTAGATATGAGGGAAGAACAAATTCTCTGCAAAGTCATTTTGGTCATGGAGATTTTATGAAAATTTACCTGTTCCTCCTAATTTTCATTATGATTAACAGTACTTTTCCTCAGAGAAAATTATGATTTTTTCAAAGACAATTATTTTGGAAGATATTAGACTTCAGAAAAATTTTATTGATTGTTTATTTCTCTACCCAAATAAAAATGCTGGCAATTAACAGCATTACCTACACAGTATTTTTTCTCCTTAAACTATCTGAGCAACACATTTATTTGCAAGGAATCTACATAAGACAGTCTATTATATTCCAATATTACCTTTTTTTGCCATCGATTTGATGCAGAAACCCTAATAGGACTGAGTAGAATTGCTCCGTTGGGTTTGTTACCTGCAACTTTTACAGGAGCCACGTCTTCTTTGAAGACCCACACCTTGCCACATGTGTTTTTAGACAACAGTTAGGGGCTGGAATTGTCTTACACAATGTACGTGTTGTAATTCCTTACTTCTATGAATAGCTTTACTGAGCCTTGTTGGTGTGGTGGGTTACTCTTTGGACTCCTAACTGCAAAGTCGGCAGTTTGAAACCACCAGCCGATGAAGCTTTCTGTTCCCATAAAAGACAGACAGTCTTAGAAACCCACAGGGGCCGTTCTACTCTGTCCTATGGGGTCGCTGTAAGTCAGAGTTGATTGAATGGCAGAAGGAAGGAGATGCCCGAGTTTATAAGGATGCTGTGTTTATATTCTATCCCATTTTGAAATGGGCTGTGTTGTCATGTTAAGGAGACGGGACTAGTGTTGGATGTGTCCTGAGTCCATCTCTTTAGATACAAGAGTTTAAGCAAGGAATTGAAGAAGAGGGATGTGGCATGACTGATTCCAAGGAACCTAGAGATAGATCTTCGTGGAACCGGGCACCCGCACTGAACAAACTCGTACCTTCCTCCAGAGTTGGCAGAGAGAAACTTCCCCTGTGCCAGCTCTCTGACGTCAGACTTCTACCCTCCTGTGAGATCTTTCACAACAGTGGGTGCCAATAGTAATTCATGTGACGATAGTGCAGTACTGGGCAGTGTCGCATTCTGTTGTACATAGATAGGGCCCTTATGAGTTGAAAGTCACCAGGCAGCACTTAACACCAGCTAACTCTGAGAAAATATATGTGTGTGTGAAAGCCATTCACTTGTGGTTATTTCTAAATAACTAAGCAACTCCACATACATTCGCAATCAGCTGCTAACCTACAGGTCGATGTTTGAACCTATCCAGTGACCCCAAGGATGAAGACCTGGTGAGCTGCTTCGATAAGGCTTACACCCAAACTGGCAGACAGTGACACTCTGAGGGTTTCTGAGGCGATCAGTCTTTCTTTGTAAGAGTAGATAGCCTCATCTTTTCCCTCTGAAGCAGCTGATGGGTTTGAACCACCAACCTTTCCTTAGCAGTCCAATGCTTACCAGGCAACACCAAGAAAATTGTAAGGAACATTTCATCGTTGTAACGTGGGGTTGCCATTCTTGAATTTAAATAGACTTCACTAGAAGAGTCGCAGTTCTCTTAGCTCTCTTATTAATTGTGCGTCCATATAATGTATACTTTTGTTGAACTCAGGTACTCTACGTTGCCTTTTCCAGCAGGTGGATTCTTCAGCCAGCCTTAAATCTCACCTTTTTTGGTATCTATCCCGTAAAACATTGCCTAATCAGAATTAATGGTGGTAGCCTGTATTTATGTTATAGCACTGGGTCTTAATTAATGTGCTTTTCACTGTTCCTTGATTGTCGACAGCTCATTAGAGACACTATTGTATACAGTATCTCAAGTACTTAGCACAGTGTGTAGCTCTACATGGTTTGCAATAAAAGTTTCATGGGTGAAAAAAAATAGGTACTTCTAACCAATGAGGTTTAAAGTGATCTTTTGCACTAAAAGAATATAATCTGCTAATATATTGTTATTTATCAATGTCTTCACTTTGTTTAGCTGTTTTCTGTAATTTTTCTCATCTCTTCTGGATGCGATTCCCTTTAAATAGATATGTACATATGTAAATTTTTTTTAGTGATAAATTAGTTAATCAGGGAAAACATTTTTGTGTGAGATCTTTCCAGTAAATATATAGCTAATGAACACAGTATTCATATTAAGAATTAATTTTGAACGGTAGTTCTTTATAATTCACATAAAAGAAAGGATTCTGTTTGAATTGTTAATTTAAAAAATAATTTCTGGATTAAAAAATTAGTTGAAGATGCTTGGCGGTCAAGCTTGAAAGTATTTGTGTGTGTACTTAAACTCAGAAAGAATAGATCGTTTTTGGTGGGGGTGGGGCATCAGACACCCAGAAGTCTCCCTGGAATTTTATTTTGCCATATATATTTTTTAACAATTCAGTGGTTTAAATGTATTAAAAGGTTGTTCAGTCATCACCGCAGTCAATTTTAGAACACTTTCTTCATTCTTGTACTCATTATTAGACCCCACTACCCCTCAACATCCCTTAAGGAACTATTGATCAAATTAGTGTCTTTACAGATTTACTTATCTTGGGTTTAACCAAGAAATTATATTAATAAAAACCCTGAACAACAAAATAAACACAACCTCAATCCAAGAGAAAGTAGAAGATAATCGAAACCAGGACAGATAATCGAAAAATGGGTCAAAGGGAAAAAACTGATAATATACTAAGTTTTAACCTAATTATATCTACAGTAATACTCTTTCTAATGCACCCTGCCTGGGGCATAACTATTCACACCCCTGGTTAATTGTCCAAGGGAGTTCAATGCAGGCTGAACCCCAGAAGGGGCTCTGCAAATGGATTTGGGGCATTCACAGTCCTTCATAACCTTTTGCAAACAGGGTGTTCAAAATTTAAGCTCTAATACATTTCCCTTTCTCTACTTGGATTTTATTATTTACAATCCTCGGATCATAACAGGCTGAGGTGATTGCTGTGTGTTCTAAAGACCAGCGTTTAAGAGTAAAAAATGCTAGAAATATATTATTTCATTACAAGCTTTTTATGGTTGCACCCAAGATATTTCAGTTCAGCTGAAATGAAAAAGCCCCTCAGATCAGGTTTTAAGAGATCATGTATTTTCCCAATGCACTAAAAATGTAGCTGATAATGCCCCGGTATTTAAATATGCAATTTGAATAATTGTAATAAATTATACAACGTTATCTATGTCATTCTTTATGTTCTTTGATCTAGATTTTCATTGTAATTCTACATGCAAAGCAAACATGCATTTCACATACAGATGCAACCAAGAAATCTTTGGAACAGAAGTAGATGCTGTGCCAGGATGAGGGAAAAGCAAATTCAGTCCTTGACATCTGATTTGTTTAAATTTCAGAACTGTTTAGGAATGTTTAGGACACCCAATTCTGAATGCCTCCAATTTTAAACATGTTGGTTTATTTCATGATGAAGCCTAATTTAGTAACTTGGCTGGTTCTGTAGCAACCTAGCTAAATATGCTGCAAAAAGAACAAAGAAAGATTGTGACTCTAAGTGGGTGTGGGCCGTCCCCCATTCAGTCTGCAACTGGCAGTTAAAAAGCACAGAATAGTTAAACTGGGAAACAAAATATGATAGTTTCACCTCAGTTGTAGGTGAGTATCCTTGTTCAGCAGACTCAGATTACGTGGAAAACGGCTTCTACAATTATTTTTCATCATGGCGCAGATATTCTTAAGATCTAATTTTCATCAACCCGCTGTTGATTGAGGTTTAAGTGAAGGTTAAGAGAGAGTATGTGTAGTCATCTCACCTAAAATTTGCCTCAGATACTGACCCGGATGGTGCCATCCACATGGTAGGAGAACAGGAAGAGATTTACTGCTTTCCTGGGGAGGCTTTCGGTGGAGAGCAGGGAACGTTTCCAAGCAGGTTCAAAATGACTTGAGAATGAGAACAGAAGAT